CTGCTGCTACTACCACTACTGCTGCCTATGCTGCTACTGCTGCTGCTGCTGCTACTACTACTACTACTGCTATTGCTACTGCTACTGCTACCTTTTGGCCGGAAGAAAACCAAGAGCACGGAGCATAAGACCGTGCTGACATGGTGACTCCCACCGAAAGCAATCGCACTTAGCTCCAAGCGTCCTTTAAGCCTAAACAGACGCATATGAAAGTGTGCCCCACTGACGTCTATCGGACATGGCAGCGGACAACCGCAGTGACAAAGAATCGTACAGATATATACACATACGAGGAAGTGACATGCCCGCATGAGCGAACTCATATTATGTACATGTCACCCAGTTTTCAACAGCACATCAGACACGGCAGCCAGCAGAGTTGTGAGTGGTACCATTTGTTCAACCTTTAACGGGTCATGTTGTACCAACGCGCACATGTCATAGTGTTTCACGTCATGATGTTTCAGGACACCAAAGCGCACAACGACGAACAGGGAGCTCTTTTGAAAATATTTACAAGGCATTGGACTCATTGGACAGAAGAAGCCAATATCATGCAAGTGCGTCTTCGAATAGGCAACAGACGTGAGGTCACGCTACTGTCGATCTGAGATTATAACTAATCAGTTCGCAACGTAACCTGGTATGATGTATTATTGTCAATTATTGTAATTATTGTAATATGACACACAATCGCCCACACTATACACACACCGGCACATATGTATGCATGCACATCTATCTACAAACAGGGAGATGCAGTGTGAGAAAGATGAAATGACTGCACAAACATAACACAGGCACAGGTGTACACCAGTGCCTGCATAGACAGATGAGCGGAGAGCCAAACCATCGAAGAGCTAGCGAGACTAGGGCCGGCATTAGCGAATGGGCGCGCAAGCGCGGGTAACCAACAGTCGCATGCGCATAAGGCTTGCGCACTGGTTGAACCGATGCGCGGAAGGGGTATGCGCAAAGACCTGAAATGCGGAAGGGTGCGCGGAAGGCTTAAAGCTTAAGAGCTGACTCAAGGGCCGGCGCGTAAGGGACAGTTCGCTCCGCGGAAGCTGCGGGCACCACGAGCGCGCAAGGGTTTGATAGCGTCAACGGATTGAAAAGAGGTTTTGATAACCGCTCAGATGGCAACATGAGTACAATCCAACGCAATTGTGCATGTCACAATCGCCGAAGTGTATTACATGTTGTGATTTGACGCATGAATTTTGGAGCGTCTGTTGACTTAGGGTGTGGGTATAAAGTGGAGAAGCTTATGCAGAGTGACTCTGACACGATGTACAACCGCCCAACCCCCCCGAACCCAAAAGCCCCTGAAGCCTAAACCTGTTGGCTTGGACCCTTAGCCCCAATCAGACCCTGAGCCCCCGCAGCCTGATCCTATCCCTTTGTCAATCCACACGCCTTGAGACCGAGACCCTGAAGGTGAGTTGGCGGTGAGCCGCGCCTTGGGAGATCTCCTGCTGAAAAACTCAGGCACCTGCTTGACAGGGAGGAATTCCGGCTCATCCCCGCAACGTATACCTGACCCCAATAAACTCACTACGAAACAAGCCTCAATGCCTGCTAAGCCCTTCACATTCCCTTAACTCAACCTATGAGCCCCAAACGCTACAGGCCCTAGATGCTCAACGCTGTCCTGTACTACCATATCCCATGCTATAGTTCTGGTCCAGCCTACTATATTCTACGATCTATTTGTTGTATTTGTTGTATTGCTCCACAGAAACCCTAAACCCTAAACCCTAAACCCTAAACCCAAAGCCTCGTGCCTCCAGGCCTTAGCTGCAAGCCCTCCGTCCGGGCCCACGATGCCAAGCGCGACCTGGCGCTGGTCTTGGCAAGCGACGGCTTGTGGGACTTTGCTGAGGAGAAGGCGCCTCTCCAGGGGCCTCCATGGCTAGAGTACTGTAGGGGCCTTATAATAATTACCAATACTATTTTTGGGGGGTTCCTTATTATAATCATACATATTTCCATACCCCCAAACCCTATTCTAATTATTCAGGCCCCTCTATATTAGGCTTTTGGGTGATGAGTGCTATGTATGCCTCTAGAATTGTAGAGGGGCTTCAAAGGGAGAATAATTCATACTACGCCCGCACTTGCCATCGAGTGCGTGTTGAGAACTATCTCGCCACTCCTGCGAGGAGGTGGCCAAAGTTGTCGTGTCCTGCAGCAGCTTGGCCAATGATGATGCTTGCATGCCTCGTCACTAGACTCCAGAACCCGCAGATAACAGAGGCAGGAACTTGCTGACTTGCCATCCCAGGCACTATAAATGTCTGAAGGGCATGAATCTGGGAAGCCCTAAACCTAAACCGCGAGCATTTAAGTTTCGATACTGTTTAGGTTTTGTTTTTGAAATGCCAACGCCGGATACTGAGGTCGGAATGGGTTAGACCACGTTGCGCACAGGCCCGCCTGTTGTCAAGCATTGGACTTGTCTTCGGACGAGGGAGTCGGCATCTGTATCTGAAGGGAATCGAATTGATAGTCCCTTCCCCTACAACGTAAGTGGCTTTCTGGCTACCGGCATGGTTGCCACTAGCGGAGTGGGACACATCGAGAGTCTGTGCTCCCTTGCAGCAGGGTTGAGCGTCTTAGACTCTTGATCAACGGTTTAGGGTTTAGGGCTTAGGGCTCCAAAGTCTATCATGAAAAGTTCGAGTGGAACCGCGATAATTACTTGGTTTGGGGTTAGGGGTTTTTCCTTGTTAGAAACGAGAATCCTACTTTAGAAGATGTTCCAGAGACGCTGAAGGGGCCCTAAATCTGATTCCTCACTCCCAAGCTCGAAGCCCTTGCCTGCATGTGGGAGTTTTCGAAAAGAGGGGACTCTAATATAGTACCCCAAATAGTAGGACCCTTATGATAACGACCCCAAAATAAGGTACCCTAGTTTTTGGAAACTCCCATTTCTCCGGCAGCTCTTGTGAGGCTCGTGCAAGAAGCACAGCGAACAGGCAACCTGGCCAGGGGAATGGTGCAAGCATATGGGGGTTTCCGAAAATAGGGCACCCTTTTTATAGTACCCTAAATAGTAGGATCCTTATTATTAGGATCCCCAAATAAGGTACCCGGTGCAAACATGCTAAGTACACTAGGTTTGCTGGTTGCCAGTACTGTTCTGGCGCTGTGCATGTTTGCTTTAGGTGCTGGCTGTCGGTAGCAGCGCTGGAACGGACGGCTAGCTGCTTTTCGATACGTGTTCGTGTTACCGACGTATCAACTACTTGTACCTTCGTTGCTGATCCTGTGCCTTATCCGAACCTGGGAGTACACCAACCCTACAAACCCTGAACCCTGAAACCTACACACCTTATAGCACCGAAAACCCAATAACCATATAAGTAACCTGGGTTGGCGCCGCACAGCACATTTTGAAGGGTGCGGCAAAGACCTGGGCACCGAGGCTCCATGGACAACATCACCTGCCTTGTCATCTTCATGTAGGTCGTGGCAGCTTCTGCCTGAGACGAGCCTATGATTTTTCCCAAAATCCCTAAAGCATGGAGGCACCGTTCACGCAAGTCTCGCCGCAGCTGCCCTGCTTGTCCTTACTAGCCGAAGGCTTTCACAGCGTCTCTGTGCAGGCGAGGTCCTGCTTTGAAGATGAGGAGAGTGTAACACAGCGTAACTGTGCAGTTGCCCGTTGACGTTAAGAGTCGTTTCCAAGTCGTGACACTGCCTTCTTGTCAGTAGTAGTGTAAATATGCTCACATGTTCTTCGCTGCAGGCACGGTATGGTACATTTTCTGATAATGACACTGATGATCTTTCTTGAACGTGTCCTTTGTGCCTCTTTTCCGTCATGAGGTCTGATTGCATTGCGTTTGGTTTGCGATCGTGAGGTCTCAGACAACCAAAAACCGGTCTTTTGCTGCATATCGACGCGGTCAAACTGTACATGCATCTATATATATATATATAAGTATTTATATTTATCAAGCTAGCGTATTTGTCTATCTATCCATCCATCCATAGATGTATCTATCAATTAGTCTGTCTATCTGTCTGTCTGTCTGGCTAGCTGTCTATCTATCTGTCTCATGGAGGGATGTATCTGTGCGAATGTGTATATGAATATGTTCAAGTAAGCCATGGCCGTTCGCGATTTCTTCGGGTTTCTCCGATATGTATATATATATATATATAGTTACTTTGTGTGGCAATACTACGTCTTACAGTGGTAGGTGTTGTTTGTCACAGACCATGGCTTCATCAGATAGATCACAGAACATGTGTGCTTTATCGCGTCCTATCAGCTGAGGAGCTTCGTGTCATGAGGTCTTAGTAAGTCCTCGTCCTAGATAGTCCGATGCACCGCATCAAACCTGTGCCCGAAGGTGCATCATTTGTACTCATGCCTCCATACAGATGTCCTTGCATGCGTTTGTAAATCGTATACAGAGGACTTGATTGCAGTATTTGCCATTGCGCATCTTGGTGTGCTTGTTCGATGTCTCCACCCTTCATGTTCTTTCAGAGCTTTGATTTTTTCTATGTACCAACTGTGCAGGGTGTGTGCATGTGTGTGCACCACGATACGCACATGTACGGCACATTAAATGCTTACGTATCAGGCGTGCTTGCATGCTCGCAACGTCTACTACTGTATGTTTGTATGTTCCTATCAAACACTACGCTTTACCTATGTCTCGTTACCCATGCGCATGAAGTAGTGGTTGCGAATTGGTGTAGCCTGTGCTTCTCTGCTTCCATTTCCTCGATGCTAGTCCTCACAGTCGGCTTCTAACAAGACAAGACCTCGAAGCCGGGATGACGCAGCATTTCCCTGATCTTTCGACCATTTTTGGCAGCTCCAGGATGAGTGAGTACCTTATTTCGGGGTCCTTATAATAGGGATCCTATTATTTAGGGTACTATATTAGGGTCCCCTATTTTCGGAAACCCCCCATGAGTGCTGGAAGGCTCAGGGGTGTTTTTCGGGGTTGAGAGAAGTCCGGAAGGTCTTCGGGCAGTGCCCATCCTCTTTCTGGATCATGCCGAAGCTGCCACAAGTCAGCCGCTTCGCAGGGGAGCTCCTGCAAAGAATCCAGAGCAAGGCAGACCATCCCCAGTGTCGGTTTTTCCTATGCTGACTCTTGAGTGTTGCTGACTGGCTCGTATCCTTCGGACAAGAAGACAGCTGGATTCTTCCCGAGACGAGTTCTCCACGTCCAGGCATGCGCGACGTTTCAGCCTTGTAAGCGCACCAAAGACTCAGATTGTGCGTACGCGAGGCGTCTTCGGCAATTCCAAGGAATGTTGAGTGAGCTAGGTGGGTCCAGATGCCCAAATCGGAGATGCCTCTGCAGGTACCCAGTATGCACGGGCCTGCGTTCTGCAAGGCCCGAAACACGAGGGCCCTGCCCACCAGTTTATCCGTCTCGGCATCTGCAGCGCTTGCGAAATCCCACGCTGCTCCCAGTGCAATGTCTCACTACTCAACGAAGCCCTGCACATCAAAAGAGCATGTCGCCAGGAGTCAAAACAAATGTGCCCCGTGTGACGCCCCCCCGCCGAGTGTGCAACGAGCCGCGTGAAGAAGTCTCTGTTGCGTAGGGTCAAGCACTGGTAAGAAGCTTGGAAGAAAGGTATTTAAATCAACCGTGCATCGGCTAGATCAGCAAATGTAATTAGTGATATGCAGCAATTTATTGGCCGCAATCACAAAAAGGCACTTCTGAATGCGGGTGATTTTTATGGTGGTGGCGGTGGTGGTTGTGAGCCGCTTTCACATTGGCGGCCCAGGTGCTTTCTGATGGCATATGCTTTCATGAACCTGTCTTGCTTCACTTTGCGCGGGGCCCAGGCATGCTTGCAATTCTCTGAACGTGCGGGTTTACTGGGGCCGCTGGAGCACGAAAGCATGCTATTACTGTTGCCGCGTTTAGGCAGCATGCACGTTGCAGTGCTTGGAGCTCTTGCGGACCTGTCGAGTGCCGCACCTGCGAAGCAACCCTTCCCCGGAGAAAGCTTTCGTGCCAGCCTAGGACGCAGGGGTCTCCAAGAGAAGTCGCCAAAACAGGGAGTTTGGGGTTTGAGATGATGGTCTAGGAGCGCTTCAAAAGATCCCAAAAGACCAAAAACCCCCTAGCCTTCACTTAGGACATGGTTGCACTCCGCAACTTGGCGACCCTCTTGGATCCACCAGCGCCGCTCCTCGTTGCAGAGACCAAGTATGGCGATCACCCTTGTCGATGCACTGTTGTTGCCTGCACTGGTCATGACCATGACCGTGGTGGTGATGATGCCGGCCACAGAGATGATGATGGTGATGACACTGATGCTGACGATCATGATATTCCGGACGACCGTGATGATTGTATGTCGTGGTGACGGCGCGAGGATGATCCGATGTGTCACATGGTACTGGCGGTCATGCTGATGTTGGTTGAATTGGCGAGTGGTGGTGGTGTTGATGGGGTCAGCTTGGTCGGTCTTGGGGCTGGTTGCCCTCATCTACTCTGCCAGCGGGTTCCCATTTCCCAGTACGAAGCCCCGGAAACCAAAAACTTGAAACCCCAACTCCTAAACCCTCAACCTTACCAGCCCCCCCACCCTTCCCTTCCCTTCCCTTCCTCTGAAGAAAACACGGCGTGATCGGTCAGACCCACTCCTGAAATGAGAGCCACCAAGGCTGGCGTGTGCTGCACCTCATCAGTTGTGGACTGGGCTTCGTGATCTGCTGCTCGCCTCAGGGGGGTTTAGGAGTTTAGGAGCTTAGGGTTTAGGGTAGGCTTGAAATTGGAACAGGGTCTGACACAAGGCTTGTTGGATTCTAGGGCTAGTTGGGTTTCAGGGGCTGTGAACTCAAGGCTGCTTCATTCAAGGTCTCTGCTGTGGCGTGTTTGGCTTGTATGTACATATGTGCATATGCCTGCACTCAGGTGTGGCCATCATGATCATCGTTACGTGGCAGCAGCTAGCCCTTTCTCGCCGGATTGTCCTTCAGAGCTCGAAGGATACACCAATTCTTTGGGATGTGCTGCATTAGGTGTCCAGGCTCCAAAGAGTGAGCCATGACGAGTTGGTCGTTTGCCTCTGCACCCTGATCCCCTAGATGGGCTCCACTAAATCGTTGATTCTGCTGAGCACAGGACTCTAGGTGTTAAATCTCATCCAAACCCCAAATACCTCAACCCTGCGCCTGCATTGAAGATTTCGCAGCAGTAATGGGCTGTAAAATATACCTTCTTCCAAAAATCGAGAGTTTAAGGGGGGTTGTGGCCCAAAGTGGGACCGGGGCAGATCGGGGTTGGTTCCGGGGCGAGTTCTGGGTAACTTATTTTGTGTTTTTGGGTTTTGGGTTTAGGAGGGTTCAGGGTTTGGGTTTAGGGTAGAGAGGGGGGGGGGGTGTTGAGCACTTCCTGGATGTTCATCGAGCCAGTCTGCTCTTGGGGATACTGCATGGGTTTATTCGCAGAGTTTCCCCCTTAGCTGCTTGTTTAGGTTGCAATACCAGATATACCCGAACCCTAGACCCCAATGCGCCGAGAAGCCTCCAACAAGACATGCTGGACTTCAGCTTAGCGGACGTAAAGAGCCACGTTAAGTTCACACAAACATAAGCTAGTACATTGTAGCTCTGAAGTGTTCCGTGAGACTGGGAAGCTTAGGTGAACCACCTCTGGGCCTTGGCAGCCTGCCTGGTGGCAGGATGCCACTTGGATCGACCTTGTCCAACCGCTCCTGTTTTCAGTCGTCTCTATGCTAAAGAACCTAGCATGCTGTGAAAATCGTATTACTGTGCGTCATGCGTTGATATGATGACCAGAGGCCTCTACTTGTTCGTCAACTGGAAAGTGGAGGCACGCCGCTGGGATCCGGGGGTAGCGGTCCTTAAGCCCGGTGGTTGGGCCTCGCCTTCAAAGGAGAAGACACGGCCGCATCCGGGCTTCAGGGTCTGAAGTTTTGGGGGTGCGGAGGTCGCAGAAGATCCCTGAAACGCTGCAGCCCAAAGCTTCATAGCTCTGAAGGTCCGAAACCTTCAACCCTATGCCCTAAATCCTAAACCCGAAACCCTAAACCCGAAACTCTAAACCCGAAACTCCAAACCCGAAGCCCTAAACTCTAAACCCTAAACCCGAAACTCTAAACCCTAAACCCGAAACTCTAAACCCGAAGCCCTAAACCCTTTAGTGCCACCGACAGCGCTTGTTTGTCCTCCTTGCAAACAGCCCCGGCAAGATAGGAGAAGGACTACTTTGGGCCTGGAGAACCAGAGCCTAGCGTTTTAGGGTTTCCGGTTTAGGGTTTAGGATTTAGGGTTTAGGGTTTAGGGAGGTTTTGATTAAACTCATGTAGGAACCTGATTAAGAAACCCTGGGCCTTTGTGAGGCTTCTTAATATGAACCCTAATATCTTGGGGATCTAGGGCCAGGGTTTCTTAATCAGGTTCCTACATTCTACTGACACTCACCAGGTCAAGGAGTGCAGGGCGCAGGTAC